CTAGCTATAGATCTGGTCACATTTATCTTTCTTTATGAGTTAGTCTTTGTAATTTAAATATATCTAAGTGTTCATTTCTCCTAGGTTATCCCTTAGCTTTGGCTTAAAATTGTTCATAGGATCTCTTATAGTTCTTTTTACTTCTGTAACCAGTTAAAAGTATCTTTCATTCTCACTTTATTTATCTGAGCATTTTCCTTTTTAAGTTAGTCAGACTAAAGATTTATCAACTTTGCTGCTGTTTTCAATAACACAACACATACTTTCATTGATTTTATCTATTGTATTTATACTATTATTTTCATCATTTCAGCTCTAATTTTTATTTTCTTCCTTCTGCTAAACTTCTGCTTCATTTGCTATTCATGTTTCTATAGGATTAATGTTAAGTAGTTTTATTTTTTAACAATTTAGTATTTATTGATATTAATTCTTCTTTGAATGTTCTGTAGTATTCAGCTGTGAAGCCACTGGTGCTAGAATTTTCTTTGTTGGAAAGTTTCTAATTAGCACTACAATCTTTTTTAGTTACCTCTATTGCCAATCTATTTCTTCTTGATTCAATCTTGGTATTTAGTATGTTTCCAGAAAATTATATCTTTGAATTTTCTTCTTTGCTTTCATATAATTGTTTATCATAGTCCTTTATATTCTTTTTAATTTCTGAAGGCTCCACTGCAATATACTTTTGTTTCTTATTTTATTTAGGTTGTCAATTATTTTTTAAAAAGTACTCAGCCTTATTGATTTTTCCCTATAGATTTATATAATCTGATTTGATTTATTTTTACTCTGATCTTTATTATTTTTTACTATTTCATGTTACCTATTAACTTTAGGCTATTCTTTTTATAGTTCATTGATGTACAATATTGTTTGAGACCTTTTCTCTTTTTTTATTTGAGCATTTCTCTATAAAGGTCTCTCGTAGAATTCATTTTGCAGTATCCATTAAGATTCTGTACACTGTGTTTTTATTTTCAATTGTCTCAAAATATTTGTAAATTTCCATTTTGATTTCTTTAATATCCACATATTTGTAAATTTTCCTAAATTTCTTCAATATTTCATTACAAATTTCACATCTCTGTGACTGGAAAAAGATACTTGATATGATTTCAATATTCTTAAATTTGTTGATATGTTTTGTGGCCTAAAATATTACCTACCCTAAATAGTACTCCATAGGCTATGAGATATAATGTTCAGTACATGAGATGCAATCAAAATATATGGTAAATTTTCAGATTTTTTAACATTATTACAGTAAAAGGACACATTGTTATTAACATCCCTCACTTTGAACATACTTAAACCATCATTCTTGCCACTTTCTTTGCTTAGGTTTTTAATTTTTAACTTTTTAAACAGGTTAAACGGATTTTATTTCCTTCAATTTTCTCTCTTGTTTTTCCATGAACTTTTTCCTGCTTCTTTTACAATTTTTATTAGTGTATGTTTGTGAGACATGATAATTGCATTCATCTGAGGAATTGGTATATATATATATATATATATATATGGAACAGAGTGCAGCCGGCTGCATGTATGGGCAGCCATAGGCCCAAGCTAGGGGCATATATGCTGGTGCAGCTACAGGAGCCTGCTGTGTGTTTAACCAAAGGGGTGGAAGTGACCTTAGGGGACAAAACCAGTTGCTAAAGCACAGGTAACTGTATGAGCTGGGGCTGGCACTATGTATTGGCCTGGCTGCAGGAATCAGGTGCTGGTGCACTGGAGTGGAAGCTGGAATCTTCTACTGGGAACTTGGGGCTATTTGTAAGCACGCATTTGTTGGTTGTACTGGATACTAAGCCAGAGCATCCACAGAAGAAACAACTGGAATGGATTTAGACTGGGGAGAGATGAAGTGGCTCAGGCACCTGGAAACCGCATAGCCAAAAGTTTACAGAAACTTTAGTAGTGAAAGCTATAGGAAGTCTATGATGGCTGTGCTGGCTCTTTGCTTTCTCAGCAGGAAAAGCTACCAGGTTGCTCTGTAGAGCAAGATGTGAGTTGTCAAAGTCAAATACTATAGGTTCCACGGTCGTGAAAGTGGTTGGGGAAACATGTTGGCTAAGAGGACTTCTAACATTCTCAGTGAAGAAATTTAATGAAGTCCTGTGCGGAGCACAATGCTAGGGAGCACAGTGACTCCTGTTATGTGATTGCTATCAGGAGCCTCTATCTTTGTTGTTTCCAGTTTAGACACACCAAGTATACTAGTCTCTCCAGTGATCAAGACAGTATGGAACTGAATCTTCTCTCCAAGACAGTGCTCCCAGAATGCTGGGGAAGGTAGCTGTTTAACCTATTCTCCTTTTCTGTGCTAGAGAGACTTGCAAGCCAGAGTTCTCTTTCTGTGCTTAGTGTTTTCCTGGAGGATAGGGTGATACCCGTTTGTGCAGTTATTCTTGTTTGTTCCAATTACTGTAACATTGTTGTAGGGCTCCTGAGCTCTTCCAGATTTATTTCCATTCATGGATAACTGCCAAATTGTTCTTTTTAATAACTGTCTATCGGTATTGAACTTTTAGTTTTGTTTGTGTATTACTTTTCTGATTTTGCTGAGTAGTCTGTCTGTTCTCTCAGTTTGCTTTGAACTCAGTTCTCTCAGTTTGCTTTAAACAGTTCCTTTATAACCGTTACTTTCAGATTTTTTTCAGATGTCTAAATCCACTTTTGCTGCTGTAACAGAACACTGCATACTGGGTATTTTATAGAGAAATAAATGTAATTTTGCTCCTCGTTATGGAGACCGAGAATTATAAGAACATGGCAACAACATCTGGAAGAGATATTTTCTATATCGTAACATGGCTAAAGGTGGAAGTGTAAGATCCAGTAAAAAAAAAAAAAAATGAAGTGGGGCCAGGGGGGATTTAGCTCAGTGGTACCTCCACCTGCCTTGCAAGCACAAGCTCCCGAGTTAGATCCCCGGTACCAAAAAGATAAATAAATAAATAGTAATAATAATAATAATAATAATAATAATAGAATGTTCCACTTTAACAACAACTTGCTCTTCTGATAGCTAATCCACTCTTATGACAATGACATTAATCCATCCCATGATCTAATCATTTCCCATTAGACCCTTACAACAACACTGTTGCATTGGTGATTAAATTTCAAAATGAATTTTGAAAGAGACAAACCATAGTATCAGACAAATCATCGTTCTCACAAATAGTTGCTCTTTGTGGAAGAAAAGAAGGCTTGGATTTCCTTCTGTATTATCTTACTAATGTCACCTTCCCAAATGTTAGCTCTTTTAACAATATCCTTCCAACCGTATATACTTTATTCAACCCTTTTTGTCCTTTTCTCTTCTTCTGACTAGATATTTTTTAATGATCTGCCTTGAAGTAAAGGGATTCTTTCTTGGATTTAATTCACTCTACTGTTGTTTCTCTGTGTTGCATTCTTCAAAACATTTAATTCATGTTTCATCTCCCAACTTTTTGTTTGATTCTCAGTAGCCTCAACAGCTAGAGGATGCTAAGGTCCATCAGCAGTGTGATAGAGGCAAGTCATAACCCAGTTCTCATGAGAAACTACCCACTTCGTGAGATCACTTCTGTTTTCTTCCTCAGACACGAGCTAAGAGAGAGGTATTTTTCCCAGTCATGTGACACATTTTCCAGAGAAGAAGCGATGGCAGAAATGTGCCAAGAATTTTCCTACTGAATTCATTGTATTTCTTGCTAAATTGTGATACAGACACTGCTAGATGGTTTCTGAATTTCTCACAAAGGGAATTTTTCCATATATCATTTCTGAATTGGCATCTCCACTGGGGGAAGGAGGACCTATGAGTTCCTATTTTCTATTCTTGCTGATGTAATCCTCCTAGACACTCTGTCTTTTTCATCTCTCATTTATTGGAACATTCATCAGTTCTTACCACTGGTTATAAAATATTTTTTAAACACCAATAATGATAATCATGACTAAACAAATACTGATTAATACAGAGCACTCACCATGTGTCAGGAATTGATATAATGACTTTACTATGGTTATTAACACATAATAAAACTGAAACCTGGAAAGATTAAGTATATTTCCTTAATGTATGCACCAAGAGTTGATTCCAATTCAAGCCATCCACATCCAAAAGCCGTGTTTTCATATTTTCCATCATGATACTCAATAAATATTTGTCAATTAGTTCATTTTTGTTCTAATGTGAATCTCCCATGTCTTCTTTGTTGCATTCTTGAGTCTGTTTTCAAAAGCCATACTTGACCTTTTATGTGCATCTTCCCTGTCAAATTTAATATTTTATTTACAGTTTCTCATGCATTGACTTTTATCCATCTTTATTCTACCAAAAATGTCCTCAACCTCTTTCACAGTCTTCATCTCAAATCTAGTCATTTTTTTTTTTTTGATGCCAGGGATCGAAGTCGGCACTTTGCACTTGTGAGGCAGGTGGCAGAACCACTGAGCTGAATCCCCAACCCTTAGTCAATCTTGATATGAAGATAGTCACTGGAATCTTAAATTTCATTCAGTTTACTTCATATCGTAGTAACCTATCTTTAGATCTAAGAATTTTTTATGAGAATGAAAAGTGTTTTCATTTCATTTAGCAAGTGGAAAACTAAAGGAGAATACAAATATATCATAATAAAATAGTAGAAACAAAGGATTTTTAATAGAATTAGTGGTCATTTACGTATAATTTTTTTATAAGTGTTTAATTTTCATGAATGACATTTAATTGTGCCAGTTTTTATAAGAACATACATTTTTTCTTGGTACACTATGAATATAAGATATGCTTTAAAAAAAATCTCCAGGATTTTATCATCCTGCTCAGAATGTCATCTCAGTAATTTTTAAAATGTCTCCTTTTATTCTATAAGCATTCAGCATTAATGTTTAGCTCTCAGCCAACTGCAATGGAATTAAAATTCTATTCATCAAATTCTCACAAAATAAATGAAATAATGATCAAATTTAACTGGCTAATAGTCACACTTTTATTACAGATATCCTCAGCAATTCACTGCCTCCTTCCTACCTGGAAGTGATCGAGAGTTTTTTGTAAAACCTGAGGCTGGAAAACTTCCTCCTTCTTACAGTAAAGGAATTCTCATCACTGTAGGATTTAAACCCAAAATGTACAGTAAGAGATACAAAGCGACATTAGTAATACAGGTAAGTTTTTGTTTTTTTGTTTTTTTGTTGGTGCTGGGGATCGAACTCAGGTCCTTGCACTTTCGAGGCAGGCACCAGAACCACTGAGCACCCACCCCAGGTGAGTTCTATAAGGGCAATAATCAGGGATCCTTTAGGTCACTCAAAGTGCTAAATTACTGAAGAGGAAATGTTTTACCCATGATCACAGATAAAAAATAACTATATTGCCTTTCAAAAAAAGTCAGCTAATTTCTACTCTATCTTGTTTTACTTTCCTTTTATCTAGTAAAATAATTTTGTGTTTGTTTGGGGTTTTTTTTTGTACTGGGAGTTAAACTCAGGTACTTGCACCTGCAAGGCAGGCAGCGGAACCACTGGGCTAAATCCCTGGCCCTCTAGTAAAATAATTTAAATATGGAATATAACAGCAAGTTTGTCCACACCACGGGAAAATAAGGAATTGCTCCCCTTTCATATTAAGGAATTATAGAAAAGACATATAATGACCATAGAGTGATTTGTGCGGGTACATGTCATTTTAAGTAATATACTCATTCAAGGCTTTTGATGTTAGTTTATTTGACATAGAGATTTTGGAACCTTTTATCAGCCATAAGATATTGTAAAAATGGTGAAAACTAAAATGAACAAAATTAAATAGAAGGTAAACTCTGGGTTCAACTTAAAAAATTTTTCACATAAAGTGGACCATTTATACAGAAGATTGTTAGGGTGATCATTTTATTAACACTTACGGTAAATGTCAAGCACAATTTTGAAAATTTATCCAATAAGGACAATTTCTCTTTAACAATTCACATGTATTTATAGTAAGAGATTTCTGGCTAAAAACAACCTTCCAATTACTTTGGAAGATAATCCATTTAGTACTATGTATTTTCAATAGCACAGGCACAAAGGGCATGTTGTTATAACACACAGCTCCTGGTGCCCGTGTGATTTCTAGACCTTTCCATCCAACAATAATTAAGTAGTGTCATAGGCATAGTTTAATAAACAGAAACAATAAAGTTTTTAATACTGTTTGAGGAAATTATTTCTAGTTTTCATCTAAGAATCCGCATAATCTAAGAAATAAGATAATGCTCATGCTGCATGTACGTCATTGCCTGCATGATCATACATTTGTTTTTTTGTTTGTTTGTTTGGGGTTTTTTTGCTTAGTCTAAGGGGATTAAATGACTTCTTTTCAAAGATTTGAAAATTAAAATTATGTCTATGTTATCTGATATATGGTGAACATTTCTTTCCTTTTTTTATTTTTGGTAGCAGGTAGCAGAGTTCAAACTCTGGTCCTTGTGCTTGTGAGGCAAGCAGCGGAACCACTGAGCTAAATCCTTGGCCCTATAGGGAACATTTCTAAAATTAACCATTTAGTAAGTTTCAACAACAGAATATGTGCCTAGTTTCTCTGCATTGATCAAACAATTAGTGAAGGTATACGGTGTCAAAAAAAGAATATGAAATTTTCAGTTAGTCTGAAGTGATTAAATTTGATAAACATATGTAGGTGCCAAATAGAGAGAGAAATGTATTTAATGGATTGTTTCGTTGATTTAATTTGATTATCGAAAATTCCAAGTGTGTGCCAAAAATTGACAATCTACGTGCACTTATCATCTAGTTATCATGTCATGGCCAATCCTGCTTTGTCTATATACCACCCCGTCCCCAACTTCCATTTTATTTAATTTTTTTTCTCCTTGAGTTTTTTGGTACCTTTTAGGTATACAGTACATTATTGGGATCTTGTACCTTTACATGACAGGTCTTGGTACTCATTTTTTCCCCTTGTCCCTGCCCTCCCTTCACCCCCTCCTCCCTTCCCTATTTACAAATACTTTATTTCCATTTTTTCATTTTCTCATGTTTCCCAACTTCCATTTTAAAGAAAGCCCCAGGCATTGTATTATTTGTAAATATTTCCTGCTAATCACTAAATGATAAAAATCATAACCATGACACCATTATCCAATCTTACAATTAGGAATAATTCCATAAAACATATCAAATATTCATTCACTGTGTATAAAATTCTGGCAAATTCTTTAATCTTATATTTTAGTTATTTTTTATTAGTACATGTTTGCAGTACATAATGTTTACATTCTTTGTGTGGATTTGGTACATGTACAGAGCAGAACTTAATTCTCTTTTTCAGCCTCTTCACCTCTCTCCTCCTTCCCCCCTCCTGCCTCTCTTGATTCCCTTCCCACCTGAGAAAGATTTATCTCCCTATTTCCCTTTTTCTGTATTTTATTTTGTTGCGCTTTATATTTTGGATTTCTCATATATGATGAATCATGCAATATTTAAGCTTGTGTGTCTGATTTATTTCACTTAACATTCTGGTTTTAAGGTGCATCTATTTTCCTAAAAATGACTCAATTTTATCTTTGTGGCAGAATAGTGCTCCATTTAATGTAAATATCATATGTTTTTCATCTGTTCATCTGTTGATGGACATATGGGCTGCTTTAAATATTTAGAAAGTATGAATCGTGCTACTGTATACATGGCTATGCATGTATTACTATAGGAAGCTGGAAAATTAATACTTAAGAGTTCTTTAAAGCCTTTCCTCAAATTTCCCCAATGATGCTATGTTATATTTCTTTAGTAAAATATCAAAACAAAGAATTTGGTATTGACAAAATACTGTTAACTAGAGACCTTACACCATCTTAAATATTTTTACATTTGTGTATTTCCATGTGCTTCTAAGCAGTTTGAACCCGTGTGTAAGATGAATGTAATTTAAACCACAACCAAAATACAGAACTTCTCCATCACTGCAGAATTACTTTATGGTGATTCTTTGTAGACATGCCTAACATTGTAATTTCTGCCCTTCCCAACAAATGCTAATCTTTTCTCCATCTTTTTATAGTTCTCTGATTTATAGAATGTTGTATAAATGCAGTCATACACAGTTTAACCTTTTGAAATTAACTTTTATGCTAAGTATTATATCCTTGAGATTCATGAGAGCTACTGCATATATGAAACAAAATGATGTGAAAATCATGGCTCAAACAATCTATTTGTATCTAAATCCCAGTTCTTAATTTCTGTATCATGCTGATTCTCATGATATACAGGAAGACAATTTTAAAACTTAAATATCTAAATGAAAATTATTGTTTACATCTTTTATTGATTTTTTTACAAAAGCATTTAGTGAATATTGGCAGCATATGATCTTCATTGTGCTTCACTTTGAAATAAAAATGGCAATTTATAAGATCAATGTAATTAAGTATTACCTCAAATAAACCACAGCCATCATGTTAACAAGTTTCATAATTTTCCATTCAATTAAAATCACATTTAAAATGGTTAAAAACTCTATTAGAAAACAAGGCAAATAGCACCAGCTTTGAGTGACTAAAGTTAACTTGTTCAGACTGTTTTATAAAAAGCAGTGCTACTCAGAGTAGTAAATCTGCTCAATTTTCCATAGTGAACATGACTGTTCGTTTTTCAAAATGTGAGAATTATCAGAATTATCTAAGATGAAACCTGTGATGCTTTACTTTTATAATTATAAAACATAACTATATGCTTATACATAGTAATATATAATTTACAGTATATTTATACTTAAATGCCTCTTTTATAGCTAGAAGCATAAACATGATATATGTATATATTGGACTTAAAATAATCTATAATTAACATGAAACAATGGGAAATTGTAAACATGTGTCTTAGTTTGCATTTCCTAACAAACAAATCCTCAATAAGAATTCAAATCCAAGTAACATATTTGTTACATGATCTCAAGAAATAGTGGTAGGGAAGCCAGGATATGAGATACACCATGAAAGGAAATCAGTAAAGAGTGCTTTACCACAGCATCTGCCACAGTGAACAACTGAAAACTAATTCCTTGGGAGATATCTGGGAAATAGTATTAAATGTGCAGTCAGAATTTTCACACCCTAGGGGACCAGGATGTTGGGGACTTGACATCATTCCCATCATTGGCTAAAGAATGCTCCTAGAGACTTGTAATACTCTTTAATCAGCAGTAGCCTTCTGGGGTTTCTGAAAAATCTTTGAGTCAAAGGGGTGCAGGTACAGCAGTTAAAGTTGGATGGGGCATTGAAATGGAAACACCTGAGGTGAGTGGTCACAGACCACATCTGTTAAATGATAATTATCATTTGTTTCCATTCATAGAAGTATGTCCTTAAAAATAAGGCTTTGGTGTTTACACATGTGTAAATACCGAATTGTTTCTCTGGTGTGAATAAACTGTAATAGTACATAAGATCCTAATGAGATAACTGACATTGTGAAATGGGAAGAAAAGGTCTAAAGGTGTAGGGAAGGTGGGATGGGTAGGGGAAGGGTAATAAGGGACAAGAAAAAAATGTGAGAAAATGAAGATGGAAATAAAGTGTTTGTAAATGGGGAGGGGAGGAGGGGGTGACGGGAGGGCAGGGACAAGGGGAAAAAATGAGAACCAAGACCTGTCATGTAGAGGTACAAGATCCCAACAATGAATGTAACTGTACTGTATCCCTAAAATGTACCAATAAATTCAATTATTTAATACAAAAAATATATAGCTTTGGTCACTTGTTACATGAGTGCACTGGCATTGGCTGATCTCTTTTCAGAACATTGAGACATTATTGTACTTAAATATGGGAATGTCTCCCATTTAAAATTTTGATTTCTTTAAATGAATAGTTAAGGAATATAATGATGAACTTGGCATTCTTTTGTAAAAATCAACATCAATTCTATGAGGTATTAGTGATAAGGGGGTAATATTTATTCTTGTTTTATTTGACTATGGCTTTTTATTTTCAAAGGGAGATTAAGTGTAGAAGAAATACAGCTCTATCTTTAAAATGTTTTTGAAAATATAGACAATTATTTGTGTTCACCACTGAATTGAAGAAATTTAACGTTCGATAAAATTTTTAAGGTTTAATATTTATTTTATAAAATAAACTTATTAAAATAGCATTTTGGCAAAAAGGGCATGAATTGGTTCCTTAAAGCATGCACGTACACTTGGTGTCGCTTACCTGTAAAATTAGAATGTTAACTGAGATACATAAAATATAATTGGGACTTTAATAAGAATGTCTTTTTGGTAATCCTATTCAAAAGTCTTGATAGAAGTGTCACGTGAAGATACAAATCCCTACTTGTAGCTTCTGTTTGTACCCACCGGGTGCTGGGTGTAGGTACTGACCCCTTCGTGTAGCTTACTCATGTGAATGCGCTAAGTGCCAGGCATAAGTACAGGTCCCTTCATGTAGCTCACACATTGGTAACAAGTGCTAGGAATGGTGCAAGTCTCTTCATTTATTTCACTCATCTATAACTATAAAGGTGGTCACCTGTATTGAAAAAAAATTTACAATGACATATGCACAGTTTCTAAACTTTAAGTTTATTTTTCAAATGGAACATGATTGTATGAAGTAAAATGTTATTTAAGTAAGTTGTATTATGCTTTCTGGTTTGGTCCACTTTTGAATTAATGGCCCTGAATACGAAAATAATTCAAACAATTGATAAAAGGGCCAAATATGTTTAAAATAAGGCAATGCTTGATGTGCAAGAAATTGGTGACTTAATATTTGTTGATAGATATCACATTATACATTAAACCTGGTATATGGCAATATGCACTTGGTCGTGGTCTTAACCTGAATAGTTTTCTGAGCATATGTCATGTCATAAAGTACAGCAAATGTTTAAATATTTAAAATGTATTGCAGTAGAAGACACACTGTTATTGATTTCCCTTAAAATATTCTTCCCCCTTGCTTCAAACACATGTACCCCATTGTTCTTGTCACTTTCTGAAGCAGTTCCAGAAGTACTCTTTTGTATCTTTGCACTGTTATGCTCTGCTGTGGCTGCCTGCATTGTTATGACTGCTTTCATCTGCTGAATCAATTCAAAACATTTATCTTTCTTTGCTAGTTTGACTTTGGGGAAGAGCCAAAAGTCCCATGGTGTCAGATACAGTGAATAAGGTGGACGACCTTGTGTTTTTTATAATCCTGCCTTTCTGTTGGGTGGCAATTGGAAGCAGCATTAGTTTTTATCACACTTGGTAAAGACACTCGTGGAACAGGAGTTCCAGAACTGCTCTAGAAAGAGGCAAGAATGAAAAGTTTGTCTGAAACAAGAAATTATTTTGAGGGAAATTAGTGGCAATGTCTCTTTTACTGAAATATTTTTTTTTAAATTCAAACATCCACTTTATATTTTGATCGCCCTTTGTATATGGTGCAATTCTTCGTGTGAAAAGCAAACCTACATGAAACCAGGTGGTTTTAGGAGGCTCTGTAGAATCAATGGGACTTAACATTATTGAGTTATGGTATGAACATAAAATAGTACACTGCCTAATTGAATATAGCTGAGGCATTATGCCTACCTCCTGTGTATATATGAAGAAAAAATGAAAGATTTTTAAATAAATCTATATGTAAATTTTACTGACTTGGATTTAGATTTTTATTGTCATCAATGATCTTATGCCTTTCGGTATATTCAAGTGGTTATATTATGTACTTTTATAATCTAAACATCAGCGCAACGTATTTTACCAGCCATCTCTATGGCTACACTTAAATATTCTTGACATTATCAGAAAGATTGTTTCCCTTCATTGTAGTTCATTCTGGGCATTATGTCATGTCTATCACATAGTTTTTTCTTACATCAGAGGGATTCACCTACAGGGCAGATCTTTGGCTGAATCATAGATTTTCTTTTTAATGAAGTGTTTAATTCATAATGCCAAAAGCTTTCCTTAATTTATTTTCACATTAAGTATTTATCATTATAGATGCAGTTTTAGTTATATAAGTATCCCATGCTCTATAAGGCAAAGAGAAGGGTTTAACTTGTGACAAACTTTTTTCTACATTTTTCTAAGTCTCTGGATTTCATGTAGATTCTCTCTTCATTCACAGACAGATGATATGTACTGGATGTATGAAATCAACGGATTACCACCAGAACCCACACCTCTGATAAATGTAAAACCTAAAGTTAATACTACTAACCAAACATATGGCAACATGCCTGTTCATCAGCGTAATTTTATCCGTGAAAATTCTGAGCTCCTAAGAACAGGGGTGTCTTCTACAATTAAGGGTGCTCCTTTGGTAGAAAAGAGAAAATAAAAAAATTCCAAATCATTTCTTAGATTCAATTAGAATTGAATTTTTTTCATTGTTATTATTTTGTATTTTGGAATATTCCTGAGGTATAATAATTTAACAAAAATGGGTCGTCTATATTTTCTTGTATTTTAAAATGCTGGCCTAACTTGTCTCTAAACATGTCACACCTCATTTCTGAATTGAGTGTTTTTTAATGGATTTTGGGTCCAAATATTGGAAAAATTTTACTTTTAGAATGCAAGAATACATTTTTAGTAAAATTGACACATAATTTTAATGACAGTATTTCAAACACCAAACTCAAGTGTTGCTTTCAGAACTAAATTTATGATGTAGATTTTGCTTTTAAGTCTTTTTAGTTGACTTCTAAAAATTATATGTACTTATACTTTACAATATGATTTTTTGAAATATATGTATACTGTAGATTAGCTAATGAGCTAATTTACATATGCTTTACCTACTTATCTTTTTGTGCTGGGAATCTTTAAAATGCGTGTTCTTGGTGAGTTTCAATTATACAATACATCCCTATAAACTACTGTCACCATGTCGTGCAATTGATGCCTAGAATTTATTCCTTCTATCTAACTGATATTTTATATTTTATATCCCTTGACTAATAGTATTTCCCCAGTCTTCCCTACCCTATGTATTTGGTAGCCAGTATTCTAGCCTCTGTTTCTTTCAGTTTATATATTTTTTTTTACAATCTGCATATAAGTGACATAATGTGGTGTTTGTCTTTCTGTGCTTGGCTGATTTCATTTATATAATATCCTTCAAGTTCATCCACGTTGTCACAAATAACGGGATTTCCTCATTTTTAAAGGTTGAATAGCATTCTATTATGTATGTGTTTCAAATACTACCATTGTTATTAAAGCTTAATTTCTAGGTAAATGTTCTTGTGAGTCCTTAAAATATTAATGATAAAATTAGCATATAAAGCAGAAGGATTCATCATTTCTTATATCTGCTATTTGGAATATTATGTGCTATTTAATAGATAGTTTAAAAGTCTATGCATATATGTACATATCACTCATATGTTACTATATTGCAGTTTTAAATAATATAGGTAAATCTCAAAATGATCTAGGAGAAAGTGAGATGAACATCTGACCCTTGTACATGTGTAATGAATCAAAGTTATAAAGAGTATGTTGTCTGGGACCTATCTTTAAGGAGAAACACCATAATAAATAGCCAGTGTGACCAGCTTTAAGACATTTTGGCACAAAATGGCTGGCTCTGCTACAAACTATTTCAAGTATCATAAATAAGAGTACGTCACTTATTCTTTCTCTATCCAGTTTCACTGTGTGTAAAATGAAGGAAATATATAATGACAGTGGCTGGTAAACTATGGCTGTGGGTGAAATGTAGCCTTTCACCTATTTTTATGCAGCATACTACCTGGAAATGATTTTCACTTTTTTTGGTACCAGAAATCAAACTCACGACCTTGCACTTGTGAGTCAGGCACAGTACCGCTGAGCTAAATCCCAGGCCCGATTTTTACATTTTTGAATGGTTAAAAAATCAATAGGAGAATATTGTGTAAGATAAGAAAGGTAAAGTTCAAAATTCTTTGTTTAAAAAAACGTTTTTTGAAACAGCACAATCACTTGTTGTCTATGACTGCCTTTACACTTTAACAACAAATTTAAGTAAATATATGCCTGCAAACCGTTTTTATTGTCTAGCTTTTTGTAGAAAAAAGCTTGGCAACCAACATAAAAGACCAAGAATGGCCTTTAGGAAACATCGTGGAGCAATTAATTGTAATTTCTCCACATGGTGGTATGCAGAATTCTGGGAATACATCCATGAGTTTAATTAATTAATATTGTCTGTAGCCATTTAGGTAGCATGGAATCTGTGTTCACTGTTACAGAAATGGGCAGGAGCCTGAAAATTTTATGAATTTCCAAAGATCTTTCTGATTCCTTGACTTCCTAAAAATATTTTTTGAGTATGGATTCACTGAGCATTTGTCTTCTTTTCACTCCTAGAATGTGAAGTGAGGGGTACTAAACTGTGAAGATAGAGACGTGGTCAGTCTGTCAGCATAGTTCTCACAAAGCTTTCATAAATACCTCAAATACCTTCTGGGAGTAAATTAACCTTTCCTATGAATTTACCGAGAAATCTCATTATTTTATGTTTTTGTTTTTATGGTAATGCCTAATATTTAAATAATCTTAAACCTTTTATACTGAGTGTTCTGAGAACCACAGTTGCTCTGCTAACTGAAAAGCTTCAAGAATTTAAATTAAGTGCTCAGGATGGACTGTATTTAGATTTAATTTTTCTCAGTGACGGAATGGAGTTTGAGATAATAGCTGACATTTGATGTTGTGAATATTTCAAAATACTTAAAATTGTTATGCTAGATTGTGATATTTCAAAGTTATCCTGTATGATTCCTGCTCTGGAAGCAGTGTCTATTTATCTGTAAAATGACAGTGGAAACTCTTGCCAAAAGGAGAGTTAGATGGATCAACTCAAGTAGACAAAACTGAATAGTGCATAAAATTCTAAGACCCATGGGAGAATGTACTTTTTTCAAATATGATTTAGATCCACGGATCTAAAGAAAGAAGATTCAAGGAGGTGCTGTATCCATATTCTCATGGCAGCCACTGTATCCAGATAGACCAAAACCTTTCTATTGCATTCAGTTGTGACTCTGCTTGTGCTATCTCTGGCCATGAGTTACATGCATCATCTGTAATGGTAGTATTAAGCTAGACTTTACAGAGTTCATGCCCCTGAGGCCAGCACTTGGTGAATTATGAATCTACAGAACAGATAAATAGTTAATAAAAATTAAAATGTTAATATAAGCGACTAGAGTCACTTAAATTATGCACCAAATCCATAGCAATTAGAGTAGTGTCAGTTGATTGGCTTTCGGCTTTGTCTAGGCGATTGCTGGAGCACACTTCGTACTGTGACTTGGTGCGTCATGGAGAGGTGGCATTGAAGGTCTATGTCTGAGGCCTGGGTCTTTGTTCTCTCATACTGCCTTCCTGCTCTGCTTCCCATGAACGGAGCAGCTAGCCTCTGCCACACCCTTTTGCCATGTTTCTGCCTTGAAGCCAGCTGACCATGGACTGAATCCCCTTAAAAAGTGAAACAGTTCTCAGAGAAAGCTAACTAAAACAGAAATAAAAAAAAAAATGTTGGAGGAAGCGTCATATATGTTGGTAGTATAAAACACCGTAATTATCTTTTTAAACTGACTCAGGAAGTTTGAACCAGTGTCTGTTTGTCATTTAGGTAACTTTCCCAAAGACAACCTAAAGTGTTAAATCATTTTATTCCTTCTTTAGTTGTAATCAAAGTAGTACATGCCCAATATACGTTGGTTAATTTTTTTTTGGGGGGGTTGTTTGAGACAGGGTCTGAGTATATAGTTGAGACTGACCTGGAACTCACTATGTAGCCCAGGCTGGTCTCGAACTCACAGCAATCCTCTTCCCTCCGCCTCCCGAGTGCTAGGATTACAGGTGTGCGCCCGAGTGCTAGGATTACAGGTGTGCGCCACCACACCCGGCATTTTTTTGTTTGTTTGTTTGGTACCAGGGATCCGACTTGGGACCTTGTGCTTGCAAGGCAGGCCACGGAACCACTGAGCTAAATCTCTGGTCAGTCTGTTAGTTATTGATGATAATAATTTTTTATTATGATGTTTCCAACATTTTCCATTTCACAATGTCTTATCACTTCTGTTTATTCAATGCAAAATTTGATTGCTGCAGTATCAAATCCAATAAGACAAATAGCATATACGAAGTATAATTAACTGCTTTAAGGTTGCCACATCTTTAAAGTATTTTGGGAACAGCTGACTGAAATATCTTCAGCAATGTCCTACATAAATTATATAGAATTGATTTTCACCGTATTTGCATTTAAAGCATCTTTACGGCTTAGGAACTAAATTCTTAACTTTTAAACACTTACAGAATTTGCTTTTCATTGTATTTGACAAAACACTTGTATCAAAGAAATATGTACTCCAAAACCCAAAAAAATGCAGAATTCATTGTAGATCGTGAACCTCTCCATCAATTCAGCTTGATTCTTAAATTTGATGAAATCAAGCTTTCCACAGATCTATTAAGTTCTCTGCATAATTTCTATTTCTCTCTTCATATGGCCTTTTGCCAAACTTAGCAATTCATTTTTACAGAGTCACATTCAAGCATCCTTACTTTCTATACCTACTGCACCTGCCTCGTTCAGACCCAGCATGTTTAGATTACGTACCCTTCACCCTCCAATACTTTCAGAGGTTAATTGTTTTTCATATCAGTTATGTTCATAAGCTTGCTACTGGTTTCTTATTCCTTACAGAATAGGTTATCTTCCTTAGTTGAAAATTAAAGCATTCAACCTTCTGACTCCTTTCAATTTGCTATTTTATTCCTTTTGTGCTCTCATCTGTTTCAAAACCAAAACCAGAGCTTATGTCACACTGAACTTTTGCCTTGGATTGGACAGTTTTGTTTGCTTAATGTACACATCCTTCTCATATCTCTCCAGCAGAGTAGCTGCATCATTCAAAACTCTGCTTAAGTTTTTCCAACAAAATTTTCTATATATCAGATGTTTTTCATCTCAAATAATGTATTTCTTTCAATTCTTTCTCTCTGATTTCTTCTACTGTCATGTCACTATGCTTCATTTTACATAGGGATAAGTGCTTCTCACACTTAAATTCTGAACTCTTAGAAAATTTTATTGTGACCATCTTTGCCTTCACCAAAATGACTAATTCTGTTCCTTGTGTATAGCTTTCATTACATGTCTTTATTTGACGTGAATTTACCATATTGATCAAAAGCGCTAAGATAGTAGCAGAGATAATCTTGTGACCCATCTCCCTATTACTAGTTCATTGATATTTTTAGCTACCAAACATTTGGGGCAAGAAACAAGAATGTACATTTTATTTTTTATTATTTATGTATTTGGTACCAGGGATC